TATACTTTGGTACTTTATAGACGTTTTGACCAAACCAGTAGATTGAATGAAATGTAGTAAATTTGGATATTTGAAATATTGCTATGACAAATAATGTCTCGAAATAGACCCATTGCATCTTCAACACGAAAACATTTCACAGCTTGACATCCTGCTGTATTAAAAAGAATCTATCTGCAGCGGTAATGGTCTATTCGTGTTCGGAAGCACTCAAAACGTGACAGCGTTTTTTTTGTTGGTTTCAATTCTTCTTGCGATTGCTTGTATCGCTTTTTTTATCAACACTTTTTCCTTCACGGTATCGTTCCTGTTTAAAGTAAGGTGTATAGGCTATGTGTATATAAAATGTGTTTAAGAGTAGAAAAACCGTTCCAAAATATCGGGAAAATAAAAAAAACTCATACCGTGCATGTCACGGATAAACCTACACATTCAATGAAGTTTGACAAACCCCAGGTCCTTGCAAAAGAAGTTCGTTATCTACCCAGGATGCTGCGAGAGGCCATTGAAATTAAAAAACATCCTAATTTCAACAGGGAAGATGGTTTCTCCGTACCACCAGTTTGGGATCCAGTATTTCCTCTAATGAAAAATCCCAAACAGACATAAGACTGCAGTACTAATTAATATGTTTTAGTTTATTCTAATTTCTATTAATAATTAATAATAAATTGAACTTAATAAAAATTCATTCAGTAAAATAATTTGTAAAACTTAATGTAGCGTAAATTGGAATGTTTTCTTTGTTAAATTAAAAATAAGATATTTAAATAATAACTATTGTAACTATAGTGAAAAAAATAGGGTGGTTTAATATTAGACATAACTGGTTGAAGACTGTACTGTACCACCTCAGTGAACCGTGACCATGAGACGCGATACGCGATTTAAATCCGGAAAAATAGTTTCATTTCCTATGTGTAACAATCGCGAAAACCTAAGAACTCGATAAGTCATACCGTGGTACGAAGCCTGAAATTAGTGTAATCATTTGGTGAATAACCACGAAAGTCTTAAAATCTATATGTGAACTAATGTAGTGTTAATGAAAGATTAAATTAGTGCCAGTGACACTGGACAAAAAGATTACATGATAAAAGTGTCTTAGCCTTAATAGATGATAAGAAAATTGCCAGTGGGTGAATTCTTAGTATAATTTGTTTATTTATTAGTTTAATGAAATGTAAATTACTTATTAATCTTGTATTTGACTAGATTGTATTGTATTTCTGATGTACTTTATTGGTGCCTTATAAATAAATGAATAAAAAAAAAGTTGAAATAAATGTTCATAGTCATTGGCTTACAATATAATATATGGACGTCGGTTCCGCGCTAAAAAGTGTCCGAACTTATAGGGCGTTAAAACCGTATACAGAGCGTCATTCACGCTTTAGTCTTCGTTTGTTCGACTGACAGCGAAGCAAGCAAAATTAGACAGTACTGCGATGACATTACAATTTAAATTCAACGTTTTAGCTGTTTCATATTCCTTTAGATGTCACTACGTTTAAATAGGTTGACTTGGGACATTTTTTCGTGGTTTTTGTATTAGACCCGTCGTCCATTTATTTGTAAGTCTATGTTCATAGTATAATTTATTTAGGCAGCTAACATATTGACTGCATGTTTTGCAATTAATGCAAACAACTTCGCGCATTAACTGAATGGAGTCCGAACCGACTTCATATAGTCTTCATACATTAACTGCAAACCGGCAGTCAATCTGTTAGCAGCCTTAGCCGTGATAGCCGGATGGTTTGACCTACCGCTTATCGAGCAGAGGCCGTGGATTCACAACCTCTGAGTTTCTTGGAACTTATGTGCAAAAATTTAATTTAAAATTTACCATGACATTTTCGGTAAAAACTTTGTTATGAAACCTGCACGTCGAGGAAGGTTTACAAACCTCGGAAAACGTGTAAAGTCCCCAACCTGCAATAAGCCAGCGTCGCGGACTATGGCCTAAACAAGAGATGAGACCCCTGCCCAACAGCCTCATATCTTTCCACATTAGATTATAGTGACCCTCCTCACCGACCCTGAGGGTATACGAGAAGAGTACTATAACCTGTGCGTGCACAGGAACTTTATAAGATCAGGTTCTGAACCCAGATCAGCCAGTGTACAGAGTTGTCACAAACCTCTGTCATTTGACTTCATCCGGTTCTTCGAGAGAGGCAGACAAACATGTCCGTCTCTGCAGCTAACCACAAACCCCAGGGAGTCCATACTCAAGTCCGGGTCCACCAGAGACGCAAAGGCGTATCACTGGCGGTCTTACCGTCAAGCCCGTAGTCTCTCCGGAAAACCCTATCTCTCGGGTCGGTAGATAGGGACAAAACCCGTCCCCAACAGTGGGACATATAAATGCGTTAATGATGATGATGAACTATTTTGTATTTTTGTACTTGAGACTACTGCTTGGACTCCCCAGGTACCGCTGAACGACATCAAGAAATACCTATGTTTCAATTTACGGAATAATCGAACGGTAGCAAATTTTTATAAAGAATATATACACAGCCTAATGAACTTTATTTCAATTGTCTAAAGTACAAACTAGATATGGTAGCTGGGGGAATTACCGAGATTATACTGCTACTGGTAACTACACTCATATCTTCGCCTGTTCTTATTTTATTCGTATTAATTATCAGCGCGCTAGCTGCGGGACGCGAGTGGCGATCCCCCACACCTCACCTGCTAAAGGTTTGAATACCTCGCCTTAAGAATGAGTAGAAGTGTTTAATAATCCAACTGTAATTTGCTTACCGATGAAATAAAGACGCTATTTGAATTTGTTTATTTGAATCTCACCACTAGGCACTAGCACTTGAGTAAAGGTGCCTACAGATTTGCTTTTTGACAGTCGTTATTATCACTTATTTGCGAATGATAAACATAAAGGTTACAACTTTTTTTATAAAAATAGAACCTATAGTTAGCCACCCTCCGAGGTGAAATATTTCATTTAAATTTAAATGAGACCAACACTAAGGCTCCCTCTTTCCAATCAAAAAGAATCATCAAAATCGGATCACAAATTTAGATACACACAAGAGTTATCGCATAACATATATACAAAGAAGAAAAAGAGACGAATTGAGAATCTTCTCCTTTTATCGAAGTCGGTTAAAATCGAACGAATTTGTAAGTATTTACGCCTAATATAAAATATACAATGTCGTTTTGACAAAAAGTACGTAGTTGATTGTCTGTTACTTACACATTTACTCGATTTTGTTTGATTGCACGTGTCGATCGTCCACAAAATCGAGGAAACCCCTAGAGGCACTTGGTCTCAGTCAAGTTACTTATTAAAAAGTTACACCGTGCAGTGGGTTTCAAATCAGTTCGTCGACTGTCGGCACTTATATTTTTTGTTAAAAACCTTTAGTTATCAGATTCGAGATTAAACGCAAAGTTCTTTAGTGCCTTTTTTGGGCATTTTAAGTTTTTGCCACCCTCTTCGTCAACGTACATACTTTTAAATAGAACTTGATAATCTAAAAGTTGTAAACTCAAACCGGCTCTTTGTTTTTTTCTTTCCATTATCTTTTTATTTTAATATTTTCTTCTGCGTTCTAAAATGTTTTTTATGCATTTTTTGTGTAATAAAGAATTGTAGGGGAAAGTAGGGGATATTACCGGCAACTAAATTGGACCACACTCATATCTAAAAAGTATTTTTTAAATTGTTTTATTGGCATAACCCAGCAACATGCTTCTAATGCATAATGGCCATGTTATTTTGTGATAATTAACATCTGTGTTTTGTTTTGAAAAATATATTTTTTGATATTTTTAGTGAAAGTTTCATAGATCCGTGCTAAGAGTGTGTAGTTAACTTAAATGTAAGCATACAATGTTTGTAATTATTATTTATAGTATAGAAGAGCAATGTACGATTGCCGGCATTTATAGGCTATATTTTATTAGATTTGTTTTTATAATATAATCATACTGTTGGTTAAAATGGACCAATAGTGTGAATTGTATGAATGTTGAAATGGTCTTGGACGATTCAGATAGCAGATCAGAAGATAAGGATAGTAAGTGTGCTAAATGCAATAGAAATTACCATGATAAAAAGCTCCCAAAGTTGATTAGACACAGTGTGTGCGGTTACATAATTGGAATGAAGAATCATGCACACAAAAATCTGACATTTGCGATAATTGTCTTATGTGAAGAGCTTATTTTTAATTAATTAATTATTAGGTATATTATACCATATGTCTGTAATTTTTATTTATTTTACTTCAGAGCCTCTTGAAATCCAATTTAGCGACCCCATGGTCCAAATTACAGAACCAATCGGCTATATTGGAACAAAGCTCGGATTACACAATTTGTTGATTTTTTAGATGTCAATAGTAATTTATGTCAATTAATGCTTCATAAATACAAAGTCTAATAATTATTGTTTTATTTCATACAATAGACGTTTGTAAAAATCTGAAATATATTATATTAAAAACACGTTTGAAAAAAATGGCCCAAATTAACAGCTATTCCCCTTTCACGTATTTTAAATTGTCTCATTCAAAATTTATTTTAAACGTGGTATATGTATATAAAAAACAAAAATCAAAATCCATCCATCCAGACCAGGAGGAAACCCTGTCTCGCGGGTGCCATGGATGTGTGTCCATAGCACATACCTACACACCAATTTACATAGTGTGTACATAGACAACAAATTACATTCAAACTCCCGAGAGAAATAAATGTAGGCCGTACAAATATTTCTCCCGGGCCTGGAATTAAACCCCGGACCTCTGCGTGACAGACCAGCATAGTAACCTTTTGGCCACAGAGGCACTTAAATTGAAATTAAGCCGAGCAAATTTCAATCACCTTAAGGGACATCTCAGGTTTTAATACCCGACGTCCTCATAATGTTTACCAAGATTTTTCATGCCCATAAAAAGTGTTCTCTTGTTCTAACGACGTAAAAAGTCCTTTAATATATTTACCATCAAAACAGAACTTACCATGTTTACCGTCAGCGGCGACAGCGACCACCCATAGCACGAGCAGCAACTCGCCCCGCGCCATGTTCACGCGACCATCACCTAAAACAATACCAATGTTTGACTATGTGAAAGCTGGACTTGTTTGTTTTAGCACAGGGGAATGATTGGAGTATACTTCGGCATTATTTTAGTTATAATTGTTTGGAATGTATAATTAAGTAATGACAATGATAAAGGCATTGATATGACAATGATAACCTCAACCCTATGCCACTTACCAATGGAACAAAAAAATCAATAGTGTTAGCAGACTACACCATTACCACAATTTTTTTTTTATAATACTAAGTGACGGAACGAACAAGTCATGCGCCTGGTGGTAAGCGACACGCCTGTCCATAACAGTTGCAGTACCACTCAGAGTTTTAGTCACAAAGATCTAAGGGGCACTGCCACTGCGCCCGTCACCTTAACAAATAAAGTTAAATATAAAACTGTATTCGCTGATAGCGTTGAATATATAGGCTTGACAAGTTATTTATTTATTCATTCATTTACATTGCAAACTTACAGGTAAATAACCAACACGCTTGTATGTCATAAACAGATACTTACAATAGTTATTTTTGATACAAGTGCGGAAAGTTAGTCATTATTCACGAGTCTCGAGGCATCTTGGCCCGACCCAGAGGCGAGGGTCAAGACTCGAGACAAGTGAAAATGACAAATCCGCATGTGTATCAAACAACGTTTTTTAATACATTTGCGAAAAACCTACATTGAAAGTAAAATAAAACAGTATTTAAAAAAAACCTCATTTTATTCCTTTGTCAATAACAAAATCAAATCGTAAAAAAGTTAATGAAAAAGGCGGGAATGTAAACGATGAAAAAAATTAGTACTTTTTTT